TCTCCTGCACGAAATATCCCCTGGGCTTTGTGCTGAGGAATGAAGGGCAAAGCTGCTGGGGCATGGGGGCTGTAGGTACTGGCACTTGGGCACAGCTGAGCCCTCGTGCTCTGCCCGTGGGGACTGTGCTGTTTCTCCAGTTGCTCTTTCTGCCAAGAGCCCGTGGAAGGTGTGAGTTTTGTGGCACAGTGTAAAGAGCTGTCTGTGCCTGTCCCTGGAGGGGCTGTGGGGTGCAGCAAAGCCCAGTCCCCTGTGAATGGGGCTGTCAGCAGTGCTGCCTCCTTCCTGCAGAGCTCCACTGGCCTTCTCTCTGCACAGCAGCACCTGCTATTCCCACTGGGTCAGGGTGCAAAGAAGACTTTCTGTGGGAGAAGAGGAAGTGACTGATTCATCTGGTTGCTCACAGCCTGTGACAGAGGCACCAGGGGGGTGGTTAAACCTGGATTTTCCAGGATATGTGATCACGTGTTCAGTCCAAGCAGCCAACAATCTCTGAATTTCACTTCTTATTCTAGCCCCACCTGATGAGTCAGGATCTTCCTGAAGACTGGGATAAGCAGCCTGTCAAAGTTCTGGTTGGGAAGAACTTTGAAGAAGTAGCTTTTGATGAGAATAAGAATGTCTTTGTAGAGTTCTGTGAGTATCTTCCTACAGCTGATTCCAAGTAACTGGTGTGTGAAAGGAGTGCCAAAATACTGTGTGACCATGATTAGGGAGAAAGCATTTTGCAGAGTCCAGGCCCCAGAGGCAGTGCCTTGGTTGCAAAGATGTGTGTGAATTGTCTGGCTGGGAAGGGGTGGTACCTCATTAGTTTGTTGGTACAGCTCTGTCTCTGTAATTAACAGATGCCCCGTGGTGTGGTCACTGCAAGCAGCTGGCTCCAATCTGGGACAGGCTGGGAGAGATCTACAGGGACCATGAGAACATTGTCATTGCCAAGATGGACTCGACAGCTAATGAAGTGGAGGCGGTGAAAATCCACAGCTTCCCCACACTCAAGTTCTTCCCTGCAGGCCCTGGCAGAAATGTAAGCAGGAGCTGGTGTGGTGGCACAGCCAGGGAGCACGGGAATGCTCAGCTGCCTGCTGGAGTTGTGTCTTGGACAAGGCCTTTGGGAGGGCTCTGCATTCTGTTGGGATAGAACACATCGAGTCTACAGGACACCCGAGACCCTTTACGGGGGGCTGTGCTGTAGGGAAAGATTTTGTGGGGGGTGGGAAGTGGGAATGGGGAGAAGAGGGAGCATAGAGGACAGTGTGCTCATCTGCAGGCTATTCTTTCCTCGCAGTGATCTCTGAAGTCTAGTGGCTGAGCTGTTTTCCTTCGTCTCATATGGGTGAAGGTGAATTTTTCAATTCCCTTTTGCTTGGCATGTTCACTGTTGCTCAGAAAGAGAATTCTCCTCCCCAGGGGCGTGGGTCAGTAGTGCCCATAACCAGTATCCTCATGTTTTCCCTCTGTAGGTCATTGACTATAACGGGGAGAGGACGTTAGAAGGCTTCAAAAAATTCCTGGAGAGCGGAGGTCAGGATGGGGCAGCAGCTGATGATGTGAGTAATGTGAATGGAGCACTCTGGGCCTTGGGAACGCTGAGCACAGGTCAGATCTGGTGCTGTGCCTGAATCCTCAGTCCTAAGTAAGATCCTGGGTTGTTATGTGGCAGGAGAGGATATTGCTGGTGAACCAAAGTGCCCAGAGTGTGACCTGTTCAGGTGCTGCCTGGCTGGCTGTGAGCCTGCACCGGGCTCCTCTTCCAGAGCACCCAGTGGGTGTGTGAAGCAGCAGTGCTGTGGTTGTGCATTGCTGGGGCACTGAGGGCTTGTTCCCTGGGGAACTCCTGCTCAGCACCTGGAGCTGGACTGTGGGATCAGTGCTACGTACCTGTGTGTCTAGTTGGAAGCTCCTCACTGGATGTTTTGTTAACGTGGCAGAGGGCAGTGAGCAGATCAGAGCTGCAGCTCTGTGCTTGGTTCTGGATCTGCCTCAGGTGCCAGAAACCAGGAGCTCTGTAACCCCCACAGGATCTGGAGGACCTGGAGACAGATGAAGAGACGGACCTTGAGGAAGGTGATGAGGATGAGCAGAAACTCCAAAAGGATGAATTGTAAAGAGAAGACTGATCTACATCACCCAAAAAATCAGACACTAAATTGGCTGCTGTGATGCAGCCAGGGAGTCAGAAACCCATTAAGATTTAAAGCAGAAGGTGAATGACTGGAAATCCAGGGATTGGCTTTTAAAGTAACACTTTACCCTCACTTGTCTGTACACTTGACTTTTCTTTCTTTTGGCTTTTGAGAAGGGAGCTGTCACTAGGGAGCCAGCCCAGCCAGCTGGGCTCTTTTTTTATTGTGATGTACTTTTTTGTACACAGCTTTTGTCTGGAGTATTCTGTTCTTCTGGGCAGCAGGAGGTTGTGAGGTGTTACCAGGAGTTCAGTGGCCTGACAGTCTGGAGCCTTGCCACTAACATCTTCCAAGAAAGCTTTTTTCTTTTCCTCTTTTAAAACTAAAGCCCATAATTGATTTCTGCACCTGGCAGGGTCCGTAATAGCCTCAGCTGTTCTTCCCTGGGGTGGGCCTTCAGTATAGGTGGGGGCAGAGGCAGAGGGCTGATGGCTTCCTGGGGAAAGGTGTATGTGAAGGTGCTTCTCTTCATGGTGGCCAGATGTTCCTTTCCCCTCTGCTTTAAGACACTTGGAGATGACAATTCCAAACACCTGGAAGGGTGGAATACTGTGTGCACTGGCTGTGGCAGGCTCTGAGGGTGGAGATGGCCACTGGCTCACCAGCAGTGTCTCCATCCTTTTGATCAAAGGCAAGACTTGCGATCCCTTTCTATGAATTATTTTGGGTGGGCTGACCTGGCAGGTGGGTGGTGGGGGAGGGCCTGATAAACAGATCAAACAGGACATTTGCAATTATTGGGGTTTGGGAACACGACTGGGGGAGTGCCTCAAAGGCCTGAGCTGCATCAGCCTGGTTCTTAGCATTCTGCTACAATAACATTGGTTGGTACTGAATTTGATGGCCAAATAAAGTTGAGATTTTAATACTATTATGTCTCTTGGTCTTCTTCAAAGTATAGAATATTTGAACCTGCCCTGCAAAGGGATCAGAATTGTAGGCTGAGTCTTGAGGGACTCTGCTACACTGGGGTGTGGGTCAGCTTTCTCCACATAATTGATAAAGGAGAAAAAAATTTGCCCAAGCCCTGTCCAGATTCCACGGGCTCGTGCAGGTGCTCTGTTAGGGGCGAGTTGGCTCTGGGAGTGTGTGGCCCCTGGGCCAGCTGGCTGGCATGAGGGGACCTTGCTCTGGACCAGTGAACCAGGGCATGCTGGGGCTGCTGTGGCTCTGCCAGCTGGGCTCACATGACCCTGTGAGCCACACTGCTATTTCCAAACATGCTGCTTGCTGCTGAAGGTATTTTGGTTTGAAAATACGCTATAAATGTTGCAGGGAGGGCACAGTAAGGCTAGAGGGCAACGGGGGGAGCTATTGGTTCCTGTCAGTGGGGAGAGGTGTGCCGAGGCAGTGGCACAGGGGTGTTGGACAACACTTGTCTCTCCAGCTCGAGCCTCCTGGGCAGGGTCCCAGCTGCCAGGGCTGCACCCCAACATCAGGCAGTGCTGGTGGCCTGGGCTGGTTGTGACAGCTGCCTTGTGTTTTGGGGGGGAGGAAAGGAGCCCCACTAGCAAGAAGTTCCACTGGAAGGTGCTGTCTAGGACTCAGCTCAAAAAGGTCCATTTTGTGGAGCCAGTTGAAGTGTAACCAAGGCTGAGCTCTGCAGTGATTCTCTCCTGTTCCTGGGCTGAGACTTGCCGTGCTCAGCTAAGAGGAGGGGGCTCTTCTCCTAGTGCAAGGCACCTTGTGGCAGAGCAGGACTTCAGCAGCCATCTCATGCATGTGACTAATTGCTGTTCCAAGAAAGCAGGCTGGAAGTGTTCTGTCCCCAGTGCCGTGTTCTGGCTGATGAAACCCCGAGCAGACAGTTGGCCAAGAGATCGATGTTTGCCAGTAGATAAACAAGGGCAGGAGTTCTCAGGTGTGTGGCTCACCACGCTGCTGGGGCTGAGGCAAGGGTCTGCTGCAGGAGAGGCAGAGTGAAATCCCTGACTCCTAAAGCAGCACAGGGATTTTTTCTGACACATCTGCCTGGACAATCCCCATCAGCACAACCCAGAGCACAAAATGCTCGTGTGTCTGACATGCCCAAACTTTAATGGGTAAAAGCGGTAGTTGCTTGATGGACCTGAGTGATTTGTCTGTGGCAGGTGGCCTGTTTTGGGCCTGTGACAGTGTAGCTGGAGAGTACTGGAGGCAGGAATCGTCTGGTGGTGGTGCTGTTCTTCCACCGTTCCTCTGAGGCTGCTCGAAGCAGTCTGTCCTCACCAGCAACTGCTTCCCAGTCTGAAGTAGGACATGGAACATCAGGGACCAGCAGTGCAGGCTTCTGGTTCTGCATCTGCCTCGGGAGCATCAGCAGTACCTCTGTCCCCACCCGAGCACAGGGGACACCTGATTCACCGGTCACGTTCTCCGTGCTGGGCAGCGCTGCTCCTCCTGCTTCTTTCAAGTTGTCCCATGCAGCTACAGAAGGGTGAACAGCTCTGGATGCCTCTGGCACCACAGCCCTGGCGTGTCTCCACTGCGCTGGCCGGTCAGGACACGAGCAGCCAGTTCCCTCTGTTGGCAATCGTGCCTGTGCCCCTTCTCCCAGGAGGGCTTGTTGCTGGGAAGTTGCTTCCAGGCTCCCCTGAAGGGCTATCCATGCAAGAGTAGATTTGACCCCTTGGATGGGCACATCAACAGGTGGGTGTAAGATGAGACACCAACTTCTGCCCAAAAGTGGGAGGCCGTGGGCCTGGGCGGCTCAATTACTAAGCATCATGGCAAATAGCATGAGCTGCATGTCCCCAAAATAGCCCAGGGAAGCCTTTATAACACGGTGCCCCCAGAGAACCATCAGTCCTGGGCCAGGGGCCTGCGGGTGAGCTGCGGGTGCCAGGTGCCACCTCCTGCATGCAGCTTGGGAGCGTAGGAGGGCACGGTGGCTGTCACTTCCCTGCGGTGAGGGGACACGTGCCGGCGGGGGACACGGACACGGACACGGCGGGAGCACAGCAGTGAGGGGAAAAGCACGGGTCCGAAGCAAGGAGAGCCCTGACAGGCAGAAGAAGAGAGAGCAGGGCAGCGAGGGGCTGGGCCGAGTGCTGAGCAACCCCCATGCCACTGTGCCTGAAGGCTGCTGCCAGCATGAGGGACTATTGCCCCGTGTACCGGTACGGCCGGTACGCCCCGCGCCTCAGGGCCTCCCGCACCGTGCACTTCCCCAACGACGTCGTCTTTCAGGACCACATCAAGCAGGGGGACCTGGAACAGGTGGGCAGGTTCATACGAGCCAGGAAGGTGACGCTGGACACCATCTACCCCTCTGGTGAGTGCAGCCGGGGTCAGCAGAACTGTGGCACAGCTTGCTGGGGCACCGAGGGACGTGGAAGCCGGGCCATGGGCCACCTTTGGCAGAGCTGCAGTGAGCTGGGTCCCTCCCTAGTGAGGAGCAGTGCCCTCAGCAGGGCCCAGCAGGGCCCAAGAGCCAGGACCCCAACATCTCCCCTCAACAGCACACGCCGTGGGAAGGGGGGAGCTTGGCCCCAAGGTCCCTCCAAGGCTCAACAGAGCACCTGCAGTGTGGTGAGACTTGGAAGAGCAGCAGCAAGCACAGGCTGGTCTGTGAGCTCTGGGCAGGACCCCAGCTCCTGTCTTCACCCCAGCTTGAGGAAGAGCGGGGAAAGGCTCTGCCTTTGTTCCTGGCTCTGCCCATTTCTCACAAACACTGCTCCCTCTTGCATGTCTGGCTCCGGGGACTCACGGGGAAGGCTTTGTGTTCTGTTTGCACCCAACCTCAACAGCAACTGTTTATGGAATGCCTTGATCCATATGGGCTGGTACAGAGCCCAGATTTGTCCTTTTCTTGTGCTTGGCTTCAGCTTCTGCTGTCACATGGCCACATAGACATAGACAGGCTCAAATGACCCCAGGCTTCCTCCCGTATATACTGATTCTTAATTAGTGAGGACCTCCCAAAACTCAGGCAAAGCAGGACCCCAGAGACTTCTTGTGTCTGTGTGTGAGTCTCAGCCAGGATTCAGGGCAGCTGCTCTGAGTACAGGGCAACTCCTTCTCCCTCCCTCTGTCCTGTCTGGCCAGGGCAGTGGGTGCTGCACCACCCCAGACAGGGTATTTATGTCGCAGAAGGGGAAGAGGAATCCGTGGCAGCTCCTCTGGCTTCCTCAGTCTTTGTTTCTTTCCCCACAGTCTTTTCCCTGAGCAGGAGGGTTCCTGGCCCCCCTTTCCTGGGCTGTGCACAACCTGCACTTGTGAGCTCAGCATGGAGAACCCTTCCCCAGGCCAGGGCTAACACCTCCTGTCCCTCCAGGCATGGCAGCTCTTCACGAGGCCGTGCTGACGGGAAACCTGGACTGCGTCAAGCTCCTGGTGAAATACGGCGCCGACATCCACCAGAGAGATGAGAACGGCTGGACGCCCCTGCACATGGCCTGCAGCGATGGCTACGCTGACATAGCCAGGTGAGGGGCTGCGAGGGTCCCCGGTGCTGCAGAGCCCCAGGACCGACAGCGCCGGGATGGAGCGGGGTCGGGGCGGCTCCTCCCGGGGGGTGCCCGGTCCCTGCGCTGCCCCCGGGGCTGCGGGCCCGGCGATGCCCGGCCCGGCGGCTCAGCTCCGTGTCCTGCAGGTACCTCCTGTCCCTCGGGGCCAGCCTGGAGGCCACCACCGACGACGGGGAGAAGCCCTCGGACCTCATCGACCCCGAGTACGAGGACCTGGTGCAGCTCTTCGGAGCCACCGCGCTGCGCTGAGGCGGGCGCGGCGAGGAGCGGCCCCGAGGGCCGGGGCGGCGGGGCTGCGCCCACCCGAGGGCCGGGGCTGGGCCCAGGCTGGGCCTGGGCGGCGGCCGGGCAGCGGCGCTCGGTACCGCGAATCGGGAACCACTTTGTACTTTTCCAATAAAGCATCTCGGTCACCGCCTCCGCCGGGTCTTGCGCCGGGTACGGGCAGGGGCTGGGGCGGGGTCGGTACCGGGGCTGGGCGGGGCCGCGCCTCGGTCGGGGCGGGGCCGGTACCGGGACTCGCTCGGGGCGGGGCCGGGACGCGGGGGGGCGGGGCCGCGCCTGCGCGCAGCGGCGCTTCCGTGCGGTGTCGCAGGCGGGCCCGGTGCGGGCCGCGCGTTGCCCGGCGACGGGCGGGGCC